CTTTGGACCCTGCTCTCCCCTGAGGCCCTGGGTCCCCTCACAAAGGTCTCTCCCCCTCCCCTGGCACATTTCTGCCTCTGGGGATCTCAAAGAGCAGCCAGAGGCTTGCCTCCCAACTTTCATGGGAGGAGGAGAGAAACAACATTCTGCTGGGTCCTGGACAGCACTGTCATTTGAGGTCCCCTGTAAACGAGGGACTGTGGGATTTTCCCTCTGTAACGACTGGAGAAACCGAGGCCGGCAAGGTCACACAGCAGAGAGTCAGAAGGAAGGAAATTCATTTAGTTGAAAATCTCTTTTGACAGTTGTTCGTGAGGAGCATGAGCAAATCTGAAGAGAAACCTCACATTCCCATTCTGTTTACATGTGTTCAGAAGGGCTGCTCTGAGGGAACTGGGTCTTTATGCAACACAGATGTCTGGGCAAATGTGGGGAGGCTCCTGGAGGTGCTCTCTAAATCTTCTGACCTAGTGACATGTGAAGTGGCTTCTGGGAGCTCTGGGCTCCAGGGTGGCTTATTGCAATCTGACCTTTCACTCAGAAGATTTCTGCTCTGAAGAAATCTGAGAATCCATCACCCCAAGGCCAGCAGGAGTTCAAGGCAGTGCAGACATTTGTAAGGAGGGAGAACCCACAGGCTGTTTTTTTTCTCTTTGCTGGGGCTTAATATTTCCCCTTGGCTTCAGGGATGAACCCGCTATTGAGAAAGGGGATGGGGAAACTTGAATATAAGGAAGGGCCATGTGTGGACTGTCAGCTTTTCTAGGATTTTCAGGGTCAAATGGCTCTTGGAGGAAAGGAGCATAAAGAGGGGGAAGGGGGTGAAAAAGAAGAGGAGGCAGGTCTCTCCCACCCCTACCATCTAGAGAGATTTTGGGGTGATAGTGAGGGATGAGGAGGAAGCAGGAAACCACATGCTGTGTGGTAAAATAATGAAAATCATATATATGTCATTATCTCACATGATCTATCTCCTGTGATTTAAAAATCATGTGTTTGTGTGGGAAATAATGAAGAATGTATTTCATGTATATTTCATTATTTCACATGATTTTGCTGCCTCTTCTCTTCCTCCTGTTACCCTGGAATCTCTCAGGGAGGTTGGAGGGGTGGAAAGGAGCCTCCTTTTCTGTTTCACTCTTTGCTGAATGTACTGAAGTGAAAAAACAGTCTTTACTTACAAGTGAATTAAAAAAAGTTGTTTAAATATTTTAAGCAATTTCAGGATGTCTTGCTTCTAATGCCTGCAACTCAAAGATGAGTTTTCAAATGAGAGACTCAGCTGCTTACTTTTTTGACCTTGGGACTGAAAATGAAACTTTCCCAGAATCAAAATACTTGTCAGGCAACTCACTTTTCTGGCTCCCAGACTTTTCTGATACCCCTGCACCTTTCCAGCTCCTCAGAGGCAACCAATCCTCTAGCTTCCCTGGCCCTCCCCCACCAGTGTGTGAAACGGGGACACTGAACTCAGGAGAGGCCTGCATTGGGGCTGGGGTTGGGGTAGGCATTTCAATGCTGAGCAGCTTTTGGGGGGTTTGCTGGGCTAAGCTCAATTGTCTCTGCAGTTAAGAACTGCCTCTCAATCTTGTTCCATTGCTTACTCTTGGTGTGACCTTGGGCAAGTTCCTTTATCTTCTGAGCCTGGTTTCTCCTTTGTGAAACGAGAAGGCAAGTCGTTCCTGCCCCGTATGGATTGATGTGGGAGTTGCACAAAGGGTGTACCTGAAACCATACTCAATATCTTGTAATACTTACAATGGAAAAGAATCTGCACCTGAAACTAGTACAGTATTGCAAATCAACTGCAGTTAAAAAAAAAGAACTGCATGAAAGGATGTCTACAAACTCCACATCCTTAATCCTTATGGACCATCTAAATGAAAGATGTGCCCTTGACTACTGCTGCTAAGTCACTTCAGTCGTGTCCGACTCTGTGTGACCCCAAAGATGGCAGCCCACTAGGCTTCCCCATCCCTGGGCTTCTGGCAAGGCAAGAATTCTGGAGTGGGTTGCCATTTCCTTCTCTAACGCATGAAAGTGAAAAATGAAAGTGAAGTCGTTCAGTTGTGTCCGACTCTTAGCGACCCCATGGACTGCAGCCTACCAGGCTCCTCTGTCCATGGGATTTTCCAGGCAAGAGTACTGGAGTGGGGTGCCATTGCCTTCTTCGGTGCCCGTGACATTTGACCATAAATTAGAGGCCTTCTGATGCCTCTGGTTATTTTTGCTCTATGGTACTTTTTCCAAAAGGTAGACCTGGATAAAAAAAGCTCACTATATGTCAGAAAATCTGGTGATGATCAACTGGTTTCAAAAAAGAAGTTGAAACCAATGATTAAGTAACGTTTCTAAGTCAATCTCACTGCAGAGAATATGCTCAAATCTTGGAATCGTGAGCAAAAGCATATGTTAAACCTGAAAGTTGCACTTCTCTTTCAAAGTAGAGAAAATATTCACCTTTTTAGAGTCAATAGACTGGAGATGACACAACTAGACCATATTCAAATCTGTAGAAAACTTTTAAAAAGTCATATAAAATAACAAAAAAAAAATGCAGATTTCCCCATGTACCATAGATAAGAAAGCAAACAAGGTTGAAAGCCACACATTAATTTCAAATTTCATCATAGGAAGTCAGGTGACCTTTGCACCCAATGTAAAAAATCCATAAGTTGCTCTTTAGAATAGCAGTGTTTATGATTTTCTTGTCATACTTGCTTTTGCCTCTGGGATGTTGCTGTGTAGTCATGGAAGAAATGCTCCCTTAAAAGTCTGGTTAAAACCAGTCAACTCTTTTGAGTGTTTACATGGAAATATCAGACAGCTAGGAAAAGCTGAGGAAGAGTTGAACCAAAGGTCTAGCTTTGGTAAATTAGACAGAGCTGTATTTGACAGTAGACAGGTAAACTGTGACATCAAGGAGTGCTGTTTTAATGTAGGGCCCAGTTAGGTTCTAAAATAATGGGGGCCCAGGACTACAGAGAAATGACCACCAAGTTCAACACAGTTCACTTGGCATTGGTTTCTGTATAGAATGTTTCAAACTCAGTTCTTTATGACACGGACCAGATTAGTCAAGTGCTTGAGGCACATTAATCTTTAAGCTAGGCCTCCAGAAGTTCAGGTATTGCCTGAAGATTCTTCACTAACATTCACTTCTAAGGTGAGGCTGAAAGAGGAACTTCCAGTGACAACTTCTGCCTCAGGGCTGAAGAGTCCCCAGCCAAGTCTGTCTTGAGGTGGCCCCCAGAATTGCAAAGATCTGTCTTCTCAAATAGCTCTGCTGGAAAATAAAGCAACAGTGGATGTCTTCAGGCATCTGAGGTCCAGCCAGGCCCCCTGAGGTCTGCATCCTAAAACAACTTCAAAGTGGAAAGGGAGTCTCGGCCTTAACCTTGTAACCCATATCCTTTGTGTGACAGAAGAATATTTATAAAAACATAATAAAATACATCTCATATTTCCTTCTATCACCCGTACTGCTTTTTACTTTCTTAAAACTCACTCATCCCAACAGTGACAAACCAAAACAGAAAATGACAACTGAGGCAGCTGTTAATTGGCCCATGTTCATGTCTCATGGCAGAGATGACAAAGCAAAAAGCAGAGGAAAAAAAAAAAGTTTGTTATCAGCTTTTGATTTACAAAAGCCAAAAGCCTTTAGGGGAAAGGCCATGAGTCATATGTTGTTCTTCAGTTGCTAAGTCATGTCTGACCCTTTGTGACCTCATGGACTGTAGCATGCTAAGCTCTTCTGTTCTCCACTGTCTCCCAGAATTGGTCAAATTCATGTTCATTGAGTTGGTGATGCTATATAGTCATCTCCTGGAGCAGGAAATGGCAACCTGCTCCAGTATTCTTCCTAGGAAAATTCCATGGATGGAGGAGCCTGGTGGGTCACAGTCCATGGGGTCACAAAGAGTCGGACACAACTGAGCACACACGGTCATGTAAATAGACACAGATCTAGGAGAACACTGTTGAGTGATTACAGCAAGGCTTCCCTACCCCACCCACCCACCAGCCAAAGGCCCAGTAGACGGAAGTCTCTAGGGATGCCAAGAGCTCTTGAATTTGGTGGGCTTTGGAGATGGGCTGTCCTCCTCTTCTCTCCCTGACTGGTTGCGATGGAAACTTTGCTGGAAGCCTCAAAACATGAGGTGGTTTTATGAAGAGAGAACTGGACCCATCTTCTTGAGCCCCAACCCAGAGTAGAAGCTTTGGAGACATGAAAGCAGTTTTGAGGCGTTAGGATTCCCAGAACCCATGTGTTATCACATCTTTAGAAGGACTTAAAGGTGGCTGGAATGGACTGGGACTTGTGGGGGTGGCGGTGGGGTGGGGGCAGTAACCTGTGTCCAAGACAAGATGGGTCAATGATCACCTTGGCAGATGTCACTCTGGACTCATGACACCGAGGGCCACTACTCTGACACCTTGTCACCAACTGGTACCAGGTAACCCCACCTTCCCCCAGGCCTATACCCTAGACCTTAATTCCCAGGACATAAGTATATTCAGGGCTCCCTCTACCATTTTCACAAGATGGCAGTTACAAGCACTTCTGTTAAGGAAAGACCTATTTCTTTTCATATCTGAGCTTGGGGAATAAGATTTTTGCTTACTACATGTGCTACATGGCTTTCCTCTGACTTAACAACAAAGCAGATAAACACACGGGCAGCTTCCAACCCGTAGGCGAAGGCTCTTCAAGTCACAGAACTGTAGCTACACGCGGGGCTTTAGAGCAATGCCAAGCATGGTGCTCTCTCCCACCCCACATTTTACACAAGAGGTTACCTGAGGCTCCTTTCACCACAGGTGACAGAGGGAATAGTTGGGGGATGGATGTGCTAGGCAGGGTGTCTGAAATAAGGAGAGGGTCTGGGTGTCCACGGGAATATATGCTGTCAGCCTGGAGCGTACCACCCATTGCGTGCCATGGACCCAGCTCTGGGGAGGCCGCCTTCTGTGTAGGCCCAGCAGGCCTACTTTGCTCACTCCTGGCCGCCGGTCAACTTGTGGAACAGGTCCTCATCGAGCGTTTCATTCTGGTCCTTGGAGCGGGTGGACAGGAAAATGTAGCCTCCAATGTACTCATGCACGACTTTGCAATCCGCACTCAGGCAGGTGAATGCAATGGAGACGTTCTGGTCAAACTCGATAGCCACCTGGAAGGGGAAGGCACAGGTACGCTTAAAACGGACAAGGATGGATCGAAAAGAAGCCGCTTGGCTGGAGATGGTCCAGAGCTGAGGACTGCTGAGGTGCTGACAGATAGTCTTCCCCAAACCCCACAAAACCCCACAAAGCTTACAGAAAATCATTTCTGCTCTCTATGCGCCCTCTTGTGGTGTCAGCTTTGCCACACACCTGGTAAAACACTGTCTCTCTTCAGATAAAAGAACTGTCTACTCTGTGTGTGGAGTGACAGGATGCTTTGCAGAGTTTTGAGTGGAGAAGAAAGGGCTCACATGAATTTCTCTATGGCCACAGCCCTCAGTCCTTCCCAGCTGGAAGTCATAAACTCTACACTAGAGGAAATTGAAGCTTCATAGGTTCTCTACCTTGGCTGCCTAGTGTAATCAGCTGAGGACCTTTAAGAACTGATGATCTCATGCACCCAACCTGGGCTGGTGAACTGTTTCACCCTAGATAATATACGTGTTTCAATGCTGTTCTCTTGAAACATCCCACCCTTGCCTTCTCCCAGAGTCCACAAGTCTGTTCTATACATAGGAGTCTCTTTTTCTGTTTTGCACATAGGGTTATCGTTAACATCTTTCTAAATTCCATATATATGTGTTAGTATACTGTAATGGTCTTTATCTTTCTGGCTTACTTCGCTCTGTATAATGGGCTCCAGTTTCATCCATCTCATTAGAACTGATTCAAATGAATTCTTTTTAATGGCTGAGTAATATTCCATGGTGTATATGTACCACAGCTTCCTCATCCATTCGTCTGCTGATGGGCATCTAGGTTGCTTCCATGTCCTGGCTATTATAAACAGTGCTGCGATGAACATTGGGGTACACGTGTCTCTTTCAGATCTGGTTTCCTCGGTGTGTATGCCCAGAAGTGGGATTGCTGGGTCATATGGCAGTTCTATTTCCAGCTTTTTAAGAAATCTCCGCACTGTTTTCCATAGTGGCTGTACTAATTTGCATTCCCACCAACAGTGTAAGAGGGTTCCCTTTTCTCCACACCCTCTCCAGCATTTATTGCTTGTAGACTTTTGGATAGCAGCCATCCTGACTGGTGTGTAATGGTACCTCATTGTGGTTTTGATTTGCATTTCTCTGATAATGAGTGATGTTGAGCATCTTTTCATGTGTTTGTTAGCCATCTGTATGTCTTCCTTGGAGAAATGTCTGTTCAGTTCTTTGGCCCATTTTTTGGTTGGGTCATTTATTTTTCTGGAGTTGAGCTGGAGGAGTTGCTTGTATATTTTTGAGATTAATCCTTTGTCTGTTGCTTCTGTTGCCTGGTGCACTGGGAAGACCCAGAGGGATTGGGTGGAGAGGGAGGTGGGAGGGGGGACCGGGATGGGGAATACATGTAAAAAAAAAAAAAAAAAAAGATACACTATGGTTGTGATAAAAAAAAAAATAAATAAATAAATTAAAAAAAAAAAAGAACTGATGATCTACATAGAAACATTTTAATCCAGGATGCTTTATTTCTCCCAGTTTCTTCTTTCCATTATCTATTCAACAGTGGGCAAGTACGGGCACATGTGTCACGTAGATGTGACTTACAATTTCACTTCTAAAGGTCCCTTTCAGAAGATGGCCTTTCAGTGAATTTTAACACAAAGTGTGCAAAATGTGTTAGTTTACTAACTGTACTTTTGTCATACATTGGCTACTCTTTAATAACTAGAGACTAGATATTATAAAATTGGGACATATTGTCGAGTATTTACAAAGAATATACAGTAAAGCTAAAATGCATGTAACTTATACAACAATGGATAGATGTTGAAATGTTCTTGTACACAAAGCAAAACATCCTTGCGAAGTTCATTCTCTATTTGCAACATCTAAGCCTTTTAGATGTTCTGAGGTGACAACATATGATAAAAAGTAGAGCTAGTGAATTAATCAATTTGTAAATATCTTTGTTATAATTGATAAAAAAGTAGCATCTTGGACATGGACTTATTAATCCATGTGAGAAATGTATGTCAGGACTTGTTCATTAGGTTGGCAGCAGAGGGGCAGGAGGAAGTATCAATGGAGGGATATATGTGGATGTGTTCATACTTATATTTTGCTTCATGTCTCATTTTTAATGGAATATTAAGGGAATGTAGTATTTTAATCATGACTCTGCCAACATCTTTATCCAGAGGTCTGTTGCCATTTTTTACTTTTTTGGCATTTTTGTCCCAAGAAAGGTAGGACTACATTTTTTCCTTCTAGATTGAGTTGGTATAGTGTATTCTTGGTTGTCAAATACTCATATAGCTTTGGGACTTTGAAATGGTAAATATTCATGTTGTGTGAAAAAGCATGATATGTAACTGTATGATCTTAATTATATAAAAATAGATGCTTAGATTTATAGATACACAAATGAAACCTAGAACGACACATCAAATGGTAAACTGCTTGTGATTATGGATGACTTTGTATTTTGCCTCTTGTGTTTTTTGGTTTCCTATTACGCACATGATAACTTTTAAGAAATGTTATTTTAAAAACCTTAAATAAAAGTCACTGACCTCGGCAATTCCCAGAGTTGGATTTTTTTTCCAAATGGTGTTACTGGGGTATAACTGATATATAATAAACAAACCTATTTAAGGTGTACAGTTGGGTTATTTTTTTAAATTGTAGTTGATTTACAACGCCATGCTAATTTCTGCTGTACACCAAAGTGATTCAGATATATATACACAGGGTTGGCCAAACTGTTCGTTCATTCTGTAACATCTTCTGGAAAAACCCAAATGAATTTTTTGGCCAACCAAATATATATATGTATATACATATATATATATATTTACAATAGTCTTTGCTATTATGATTTATCATGGGATATTGAATATAGTTCTTTGTGCTATATAGCTGGACCTTGTTTATTCATTCTATGTACAAAAGCTTACATCTGCTAAACCCAACCTCCCACTCCATCCCTCCCTCAACTGTCTCCCCTGTGGCAAACATCAGTCTGTTCTCTATGTCTGTGAGCCTGTTTCTGTTTTGTAAATAGGTTCATTTGTATCATATTTTAGATTCTGTATCATATGGTATAGCTATGTAAGTGATATCATGTGGTATTTATCTTCCTCTTTTTGAGTTGTTTCACTTAGTATGAGAATCTGTAGGTGCATCCAATTTGCTGCAAATGGCATTATTCTGTTCTTTTTCACAGCTGAGTAGTATTCCATCGCATCTATGTACCACATCTTCTCTATCCATTCATCTGTTGTTGGACATTTAGGTTGTTTCCATGTCTTGGCTATTGTGAATAGTGCTGCTTTAAACATAGAGGTCCACATATCTTTTTGAATTAGACTTCTGTCTGTACATATGCCCAGGCGTGGGATTTCTGGATCATATGGTAATTTTGTTTTCAGTTTTCTGAGGAACCTCCATACTGTTTTCTAGAGTGGCTGCACCAACTTACACCAACAGTGTAGGAAGTTTCCCTTTTCTCCACACCCTCTCCAGCATTTATTGTTTGCTGATTTTTCTGACTGGTGTGAGGTGGTACCTCATTGTAGTTTTGATTTCCATTTCCCAGAGGTGGATTTATATGGCCTTGAGGATATAGCAAGGCTTTCAAGCCACTCCTTAGAGGCTGTCTAATCTCAGACCTTCATTCTACAAAAGAGTTAAGACTGTCAACAGCTGTGCTGAGAGGAATCCATGGTTCTTAAAAAAATGTGAGTCACTTAACCTCCCTCTACATTGACAGCTTTCTACTGGAAAAATGGGAATGTCAAAGGAATGAGGAAAAGAGCCTCTATCATCATCAGAAGAATGCTTTAAATCATCAGGACACTCAGGTGTCTCTAACTCAGCCTGTGATGTAGCTCTGGTCTGGTTCCTAGGGCAGAGATGATAGGAGCTGATGGCTCCTGAAGTCAGAGGCTGAATTTTCTCGTCACCCCTGTGTACCGTCCTGGCTTTGGTACTTTTCCCCTTTGGGACTAGAATGATCTCCATATGGGCAGTTGAGCCTGGGCGTCCTCAACCAGTTATACCTCTTGGCAGTCGGTCAGATGAGGCCTGTTTTGGATTTATTCTGTATGATACATACATCTCAGGTGGCCTCTGCTAAGTAGTTATCAACCTAAATCTTATATAATCATACATGAGTTGAAGGAGATTAAACTACTCCACAATTTTAGAGTCTGTCCGTATGGAGACCAAGCCAACTTATGTTAATTCAAAAGCATTCGGCCTATACTTGTTAGGGAACTGCCTAGAACTGCATGTAATTATTTTAGCAGAGAATTACCACATGCTTGTGGTCTCTAAATTCTAGGTATAAGAATACCTTCTGAAAATCAGAATAAGCTGCAGTTCTGAGGGAACACAGGTTTAATAGGTTCAACACTGAATATACCCAGACTTTCACTTTACCTGCCGGATTTCCCAGTTTACATTCCACTGTTTCATATTTGTAAATCTCCATGTTGTAATTGGGATCCCAGTGGCTGCATCAATTCTAATCAACCTATTATATGAAATTCCCAGAATGTCATCTTTTTTGCTTCCTTTAAATCTGAAAAAATTTAATTAAAAGATGTAACTGCTTCCTGTGACATGATGTTTATTCACACACAACTTCTTAAAAATAATACCAACATTTCTAAAACATTTCTGAAGAGTAGACAATGAGGGATTAACTTTCTGCAAAGGGCATTATTATTGTGATAGAGAGAATATGAAGGCTGGAGAGAATTAGGATGTCCTGCTGACATTATTTAAATGAAATTGACATCAGAGGAAAGCAAAATAAGAGGTAGTCAAGTCAATTAGTTCAAATTAGTACCAACTGTGTATGCCAGGCACCCTTCTAGGCACTGCTTAGGCACAGCGACCTAAACAGACAGACAGAATATTCCTAACCTCATTGAGCTTATATTCTAGTTGGGGGAGAGGGTCATGAATAAGTGAAATATACATGTCAGATAAGATCATGAAGGAGAATAAAGCACAGAAGTGAGACAGGGAATAATGGCGAGGAGGTTGTTACAATTTTAAACAGAGTGTCAGGGAGATCTTAGCCAGAAGGAAGATTTGATTGAAAGAACTGGTGTCTGTGAGGGCGTGAGTTATGTGGATACCTGGAGAAAAAGTATCTTAGGTGGAGGGCACAGTGCAAAGGCCTGAGCTCTCCTTCCCCCACCAGCCCCCTCAGGCTCAAAGCCCTGCCAAGAGGCCAGCATGGCTCCCTGCCAGGAGGCCAGGGCAGCATGAATGAGGGGAGAGGAAGTGAAATTCCAGAGTTAAGGTCCTGCTGGGTTGCTGTAAGGATCTGGCCTTTACCCTGAGTGTGACAGAATGCCTTTAGATGGGGTGAGAAGAGGCCTGACAGGATTTGACTTAAAAGGATCACACAGGCTGCTAAACTGAAAACTTAGGGGACAAACAGGAGAAGCAGAGAGATCAGGTAGGCACTCTGAACAGAGGTATGGAAGATTGTTATGAGCAGCCAAAAGTGATGGTCATTTGTGAACAGACAGTATTCTAAAATTAAAAAAGGAGAGAGAATTTTATATTCTAGACCAAATGAGAATAAACTGGATTCCAAGGAAGCCACTTAGAATTGAACAGAAAGTAAGAGGCAGGTGAGCATTATAATCACCTGACAAGGTAGTAGGTGAGGCCGAATTCAGGTAGAGACTGCCATGCCTGGATGAACCGCAGCTTGGCTTCGACCAGGGGCATCTGGGCTACGTTCTGGTGGGCTTCCAGAATGCAGGCTGCCAGCTAAGCAGAAGCGGGAGACGTCAAATTCCCTTTAGCAGACACTGACTCTCTACAGCAAGCATCCTGTTGGCTTCAGGTCTCCAGTGAGAAGAATGAACACAAGACACAACTGCAGCTTCACAAAGCCAATTCCTTTCCATTCATTCACTCATTCATTCACTCTCTCTCTTTTTCTATAATACATACAAATCACTGGGGAGAAGCAGGATGATCAGGTAATATGTAGGCTTGCTTTTTGTCTGGGGTCTGTGGAGTCTCCATGGACAATGGTTCTACTCGAATCAGTTTACTGTGTAACTTTCAACCCACTCTTATTTAATTTGTGGGGACTAAATCATTCTTTTAGAATTTTTATTCTGGGAATATTGCCATGTGCAGTTAGCAGTGCAGTCATTGCTATCAACAATAATTTGGGACTTCCCTGTTGGCCCAGTGATTAGGAATCTACCCTCCAATGCAGGGAACATGGGTTCAATATCTGGTCAAGGAACTTAGATCTCACATGCCACAGAGCAACTAAACCTGTGTGCTACAGTGACTGAGCCTGCATGCTCTAGAGCCTGTGTGTTGCAATTAGAGAGAAGCCCACACGCCACAATGAAGACCCCTCATGCTGCAATTAAGACCCAATGCAGTCAAATAAATAAATATTAAAAAATTAACAATAATTTCTTAATATTATCTGACACCCAGTTCATAGTTAAATTTCCCCATTAGCTGATTTTTCATGATGATGATCTCAATCAATTTAATTCCCTATTCTATTTCAGAAAATACAGAATGTACTGCAAATAATCACCCCAGCCAGATTAGCAGTACCTGTTTAGACTTGTGCTTTTTTGCACACCGAGGTGACACAAAACATTCCGGGTTCAAGTCCATGTTTTCAAGACCAGAAGCCACCTGAGATGCTGAGTTCCGGTTTTTCATCTTCAGAAAAGAAAGGATGTTGAGGACCTCTGGCTGGTAGGAGCTGTCTGCCATGGTTTTGCCCTTTGATGCCAAGATGCAGGCAGCCATCCATTGGGCATACTGACTCTCCTGCAAGAAATACCAGAGGGCTGAGAAGCAAGTTCAAGTATAAAGCTGCCATGTTGGGAACAGAGAAGGATTTGGACTATCATTCTAGATGATGTGGGGTGGCATGCATTTGAACTGTTATTAATCACCTAATTTAACATCATGTGAGAGCTTTTGAGTCCTGTGTTGAGTTTCTAGATACCAAGGGGCTAAGGAACAGGAATGTTGACTTTGAGAAATCCTGTGTGGAGAACTTCTCATTTAAAGATGAACCAAGGACATGAGCTTCTCGGAGCACAGAGGTGAAAACTCAAACTACTGGGGTGCGCCCTTGATGCATAGTCCCGTTTTCATATCAAGTCTTATCTCTATGACAGAAGACAGTGAGGAAAAATCATTAACTGACTTCTCATATTATTTCTCCCCCGGCCTGTCCTTAGCAAAGCTTCTAATCCTATGCTAGGAATCAGGTCCATTGGTGGATGTGAACCAGCTAGTTGTGGCTTCTACTCTTCTTTAATGTCTGTGCTCATTTGCTACCTCAGGGAGCAAAGGGGGAGTGGTCCCAGAAGCCAAGGGGATGTGGGTAAAGAGGGAAATTAATTCTTCAGGGCAACAGTAGGTGTGGTTCACTGAGTCACTGGCCTCAGTCATCACCCTCCTTGCATCCACATCTCTAGCTGTGTAATTTTACAGTCCCTCCCATCAGAGCCAGAGTGTAATTTCCCATCTTTTGACTTTCAACCTGGCCATGGATATGCTTTAATCAACGGAGTGTGGGTGGAAATGACAGTGTACCTACCAACTGACTCCAAGCTTAAGCGTTAGGAGGTCTCACACATTCCCAGTTTCCTTCTGGCACTTCTGCCATCACTATGCGAAGAGCCTCCTCAGGCAGCCTGGGGCCCAAAGTAAAGCCCATGAGCTCAGTCAGTGGAAAAGAGCCAGCTGAGCCAGGTGGATGGCTTGGAGCAGATCTGTCCAGCTGCCCACAGCCTGAATCATCCAATCCCTAGTCATCTGGCAGAATGCTTGCTGATGTGTGTCTTTATGATTTTTGTGATTGTTACAAAGCAGGAGCTGACTGATGAGTGCTCTGATTTGAGAAAACAACTGAGATGGTTTGTCTCGAGGCTTAATAAAAGCGAAGTGATTTTACTTACATGGTCACATCTCAGATACACTTCATTCATACCATCAGCAACGGGGATTAGTAATTTGATTCCAAATTTTCTCCCTGCTACATTTACATCTGGCACAACTTCACAACCTGAATGATAGAAGGCAGGGAAAGAACTGAGCTCTGAGAAATCTCTTAGACAAATATCAGATGTGCATCTAAAAACAAAGAATTTGAACATAAACTCCTCAGATTTGACTCTCTTCTGAAAAACTGAAGAGCAGGCTGATAACATTAATTAAAGCAGGGGTCCCCAACCTCTGGGATCTAATACCTGATGAGCTGAGGTGGAGATGATGTAACAATAATAGGAATAAAGTGCACAATAAATGTAGTGTGCTCAAATCATTCCAAAACCACCCCCCCCACCCAAAATCTGTGGAAAAACTGTCTTCCATAAAACTAGTCCCTGGTGCCAAAAAGACTAGGGACGGCTGAATTAAGTGATTAATAGGTAAGTTATGAACTTAGCATGGATAAATAAAAATATTTTATTTTATGGATTTCTTAAATACATCATCGATTGACTTCCTTTTCAGGCTAATTTGGCTAACTCATATGATCAGTTATTGAACATAAACTTTGAAAGAATTAAAGGAGAGGGAATTCTCTGATTGTCACAATGATAAGGGAATTGAGTGCACTAGTTAATTAAATTTTTAGTTAATGAGTTACCAGGACACTCACAGCCACTTTCAGAAATAAAGCCCAAACGTGACACTGAATTAAACTTAATTGTTTTGGAATTCAGAAAGCTTTACAGGATCCAACAATGTCTCATGTCTTATATTTATGACAACAATTACCATCACATCAGAGACTTGGACACACTGGGAAAGAAGGGACGGCATAATAAATGATTGTTTTTTCACTGATTTGCATTCCAGGTTCATACTTCATGGGGAGGAGGAGCTTCAGGCAGGTGGCCATTGACAGCCCATGACAGACAGAGGTTTCTCTGGGAGTGAACATGCTTCACTGGGTGAACATGCTTTCACCCTTTTGATGGGCCATGTCAAGCCATACTGAGATACTGGACCCTCTTACCTCTAAGGTTTAATTTTTCAACTGGTTCTCCTTGTTCAAGCTCCTTATTCTTAAAGTAGGCTATAGATGTGTCTTTAAAGACGAACCAATATTGTTTGAAAGCTTTTAATATTAGCTTTTTGGGCCTGCAAATTAAAGTACAGTAAACATTTGAAAAACCATCCAGAAATGTAGGACACATTGCAAATTCAAGCTAATCAAGATGCTCTAGAGATCCTTTCAGACAACATTCTCTTTATTTTTTAATAATTTTTAAATTGCTAACTCATTTCTAAGAATGGAAAATGGGGTTTTTGATATGAGATGTAGAAGTTAACACAAAATCTCAGGAGCCAGACCACTCAGTGCTACACTTTACTCTGCTGTATAAATGTGTGACCCTAGGAAAGATTGTGTCTGTTTGGGCCATGTGTATTACTTCTGTGTGATGGGAGAGTATCAGCCTTGAATTCACAGGGCTTTTGTGAGGGTAGAAAGAGGTAATTTCTGTAAAGTGCCTGGCAAACGGAAGTGCTCAACAAATTATTATTATTACTACTGTGATGATGTGAGAAACATCCATGAATATGGCGACATCTAAAATTTCAATTTATTTCTTGATTCTGAAAAAGCTGTCCATATGGACAACACAAGCTTCAAGTTACAGACATAAAAATCAGATATAAAAGTAAGCAACCTTTTCTGTATTTTCCTCTTGACCCTAAGAGAAACCAATCAAAAAATTCCCAGTGAGCCACGGAAATCACCAAAATCTATAGCTAATCCATGTAGACCCCGCTGATATTAAAAAATATTTTGAGGGAAGATTTCTAACCATGGTATCTGTTTAGGCCAGAAAACTGTACTCTGGGCTAGACAAGGTTAGCAGTGCCAAAGGAAGACCTCAGCTGAGTCATTTCAAACTAGGAAATGAGAGAGCAAGCTGGGGAGCAGGGAAGAGGGTGCAGCTAGACAGAGGAAAGGTAGTAGGCTTTATATGTGGTTCAGTGGGACAATTCCAGCTTTGGGGGTGGATCAGGGTATCTTGTGTCAGAGAGGTGGGTTTCTGCATTCAAGAATGGGAGGAAGACAGGAAGCTTGGGGTTAACTGCACTCACATATGCTTCTAGGCAAGTCTTTTAACATGTCGGTACTAATATTTTGTCAGCTAAAAATGTGCTATCCTTAACACAAGGATAAGGGAAATGTTAATTTAAAAAACCAGCGTATTACAGGAGATTGTTACATAACAATTATATAATAAAATTGAAAAACATTATATGTAGTTAATATTTCCAGGATTTAAAAAACCACTACTTAAACAATAGTTTTATCATGTTGAGAGTTGTAAGGTCATTTTAAGGGACATATTTAAAAGGTACCTGTCTAAGAATCAGATTTTCCAAAGTTAACAATGTTTTCAAAATAAAATCTAAGGATACAGTCTACAAAAAAAAGTATAGTGAAGTCTCGGTTTAGTCTCAGGTATATAAATATTTCTAGTCAGAATTAAGAATGAAACTCTGTTTCTCCATTTTAATTGGACTTGAAGAGTATAAAAAGATTTTAAACTCTTTCTACTATGTTTTTCCAGGTTGGTTCATCCTCAACTGCTTTTACACATCCCCAAACTCTTATTCCATGTTCCAGAGACTGAGAAAAGGCAGGGAAAGAAGAGTGGAGAAGGTATCAGAATGGGGAATGATGTATGCAAGAATGAGACAGTCCCTTGTACACTGGAAACTATATGACATTGTTGAAAGAAAGAAACTGGAGAAGACACAGATAAATAGGAAGATACTCCAAGTTCATGGACTGGAAGAATTAACATAATTAAAATGTTCATATTACCTAAAGCAATTTGCAGATTCAGTGCAATCCCTATTAAAATCCCAAGAATGTCTTTCACAGATATAGAGCAAAAACTTCTAAAGTCTATATGGAACCACAAAAAGCTCTGAATAGCCAAAGTAATCCTGATGGGGGTGGGGAGACAAAGCTGGAGGTATCACACTCCCTGATTTTAAACTATATCACAAAGCTACAGTAGTCAAAACAGTATGGTATAGGCAGAAAAACCCATGCACATATGGACAGTTAATCTGGATAAAGGTGCAAAGCACATACAATGGGGAAAGGATAGTCTCTTCAATAAATGGTGTTGGAAAAACTGGACTGTTACAGGCAAAAAAATGAAACAAGATCACTATCTTATTGTTGTTGTTTAGTTGCTAAGTCATGTCCGACTCTTTTGTGACCCCATGGACTGTAGCCTGTCAGTCCACGGGATTTGTCCATGGATTTTCCCCTGCCCATGGGATTTTCCAGGCAAGAATACTGGAGCGGGGTGTCATTTCCTTATCCAGAGGATGTTGTCAACCCAGGGATTGAACCCATGTCTCTTGCATTGGCAGGTGGATTCTTTACCACTGAACCACTTGGGAAGCTTATTATCTTATACCATACACAAAAAACAACTCAAAATGGATTAAAGACTTGAATGTAAAACTTGAAACCATAAAACTTCTAGAAGAAGAAAACAGAGGCATTACACCTATGTTTGCCAACATTGCTTAGACATTGGTCTTAGAAATATCTTTCTAGCTAAGTCTCCTCAAGCAAGGGAAACAAAAGCAAATTTAAAAAATTGGATTACATAAATCTAGGAAGATTCTGGACAGCAAAGGAAACCATCAACAAAATGACCAGACAAGCTACAGAATGGAAGAAGATATTTGCAAATGATATATCCAATAAAGCAAATATATATATCCAAAATATATAAAGAGCTTATATAATTCAACAATAACACAAAACAAAAAACCCAATTAAAGACTGAGCAGAGGAGATGAAGACACTTTTCCAAAGACATACAGGTGACCAATAGGTACATGGAAAGATGTTCAGTATCACTAATTATTAGGGAAATGTAAATCAAAGCCACAAGGTTAAAATCACTTCATGCTTGTTAGGCTGGCTATTATAAAAAATACTAGAAATATATTATCTAGGGTGAAACAGATCACCAGCCCAGGTTGGATTCATGAGACAAGTGCTCGGACCTGGTGCACTGAGAAGACCCAGAGGGATCGGGTGGAGAGGGAGGTGGGAGGGGGGATCGGGATGGGGAATACATGTATATCCATGGCTGATTCATGTCAATGTATGACAAAAACCACTACAATATTGTAAAGTAATTAGCCTCCAACTAATAAAAAAAATAAAAAAAAAATACTAGAAATAACAAGTGTTGGTGAGATTATGGAGAAAAGAGAACTCTCACACACTGTTGGTGGTAATGTAAGTTGATATAGCCACTATGGAAAACAATATGGAGATTCCTCAAAAAATTAAGAATAGAACTACTGTATAACTCAGCAATTTCATTTCTGTATTTATCCAAAGAATATGAAAACACTAATTTAAAAAGATATACGCACCCCCTATGTTCAATGTGGCATTATTTACTATAGCCAAGAGTGTCCATCAATAAATGAATAAAGAAGATATGATATGAACATGTATATTAATATATATGTATATTTTCAATATATATATTCACAATGAAATATTAGCCACAAAACAGAATGAAATCTTGTCATTTGCCATGGACTTTGAGGGTACTACATTAAGTGCAATAAGTCATACAGAGGAAGACAAATACAGCATGATTTTATTCATGTGTGGAATACAAAAAACTAATTAAAAACAGACAAAATAAATGAATAAACCAAAACAAACACACAGATATAGAAATGAGAGTAGTAGTTACTAGTAGGGGAGGGTTGGGGAAAGGGGTCACAATGGGTTAAAGGGATAAACTATATGGTGGTGGTGGGTTGTGGTTTAGTTGCTTAAATTGTGTCTGACTCTTGTGACCCCATAGACTGTGGCCCACCAGGCTCCTCTGTAATGGGATTCTCCAGGAAGTATACTGCAGTGGGTTGTCATTTCCTTCTCCAAGGGATCTTCTGGACCCAGGGACTGAACCTGTGTCTCCTGCAATGCAGGCATATTCTTTACCACTGAGCCACCGGGGAAGCCCATGGTGAGAGATGGAAACTAAATTTTGGCGGTGAGCACATTGTAGGGTACACAGAAGTAGAAATATAATGATGCATATATGAAAATCACATAATGTTATAAATCAGTGTTACCTCAATAAAAATAAATGAAAAAGTAATCCATAAATTTTATCTGAAGAATGACAAAGGGAAATAAAAGAAAAAAGAATGAGATAGTCTCAAATCCTCATGGAGCTTCCCTTTTAAAGAGGGAAATGTGTAAGTAAATAAATATAAAAAAATGTGGTAAGTCACACAAAAAGGATATAGGAGTTGTAACAAAGGACACAATGTTTAAACTCAGAATGAAGGGTCAATAAGCATTTGATGGGAGGAACAGAAAAGAAATTTCAAAAAGAAAAGTGCAGGCAACTGCATGTCCAGAATGCAGAGGTGAGTCAGAGTTGGGTACCTTGCTGGTAGAAGTTGGGTCAACACTTCCTGGACATCTCCCTTATGCTGGGTGCTGGGTTGAGCCATGGAAATGGGCAGAGGGGAAGTCTCTGAAACTACGTCATTTCCATGTCAGGGCTGATGAAGACAAGAACAGCAAGCGGGCTGGGGCCACTGTGGGCCTCTAGATGTATGGCTAAGAAGTTGGACTTTATTTTCTAGAAGAATGGTTCTCAAACTCTGGTGCTCATAAGACATGGAAGGGAACTTATTGGAGATATATAAGCTTGGATCCATTCCCAGAGAGTCCTATTCAGCAGGTTCAGTTTAGGGCACAGGTGTCTGCAATTTAGGTAAGCTTTTCTACCATGGTTTCCTAGTTTGCCCCATAATCTCCAAAATAAATCTGGGCACAATCTATCTTTAAAATATTTTGAGTACCTACTTCCTAACATAGTTACAGTTATTGAAAATTATATATGAAAAGTTCATTTTGTTTCAAGAAGGGAGGTTATACAAACCCCAATGGAGGAACCACACTGTTGGCTGTGTTTACTAATTACAATACTCATATTTTAATGCCGTCTATCTGTTTGTGAAGGTTTTTGTTGAAGCAAGGCTACTAATTTTCATATTCCTTGATGTCAGTCACTCACTTATGCAAATTAATCAGGATATGTTGTAATTTA